CCCCAAAACCCCAAAACCCCAAAACCCCAAAGTTTAGCATAATTTTCTAATATTTTATCATGATGGACTATAAGAAAAGAGAGAAGAGTATTCAAAGAGGGAAGAACGAGGAGCAAAACTTCTTAGAGAACAAGTTAAATTCCATAGCTAAAAGTTCTGTGGATGGCTCTGTGAAAGAAGATGTCTATACAAACCCATACGGGGGAGATAACGCTCATAATGATTTGAACAACAAAAATAAAATTGATAATTTAGAAGAAGTTGAAGTCACCAATTCAAATATTGAGAGCTCTCCTTATTATAATAAGAAATTCAATAGTACTGGAGGAGGTGTGGAGCTACGGGCAAGAGAGGAATATAATAACAGCTCCCCTGATAAAAAGCAAAAGCAAGGGCAAGGACATCCTCTGATATATGACAAAGATGATGAATTGAAGTTAAAGACATATAATTATTTCAGACCGAGTCCTAATAATCAATCCCTACATGATAACCCTTCAGCTAAATTCTTGACAAAGTCGCCAAGATTTGAAGAAGAGAAGGAAGTAAGAATTATTACCCACCTTTCTTAATAACTTTTGTAATAAATTTTTAATTAGGTGAATGATGGAATAACAGAATACACCAAGGAGGAAATGGCAGGCTTCAAGACTGTCTTCAACACCTTTGATAAGAAGAAGAAAGGCGAGGTATCTCTCAAAGATCTCCGATCTATCTTCCAGTCCTTTGGGAGAGATCCTGAAGAACTCGATATCATCATGGACGAACTTGGTCTTAGAGGTTATAGAGAGCAAGACCAAATAAAATTTAATATCTTCGTCCAGATCATGCAGAAGTTAGAAACAGAAATGGATAAAACTCATGGAGATATTGAGCAAGATCATGACCCTAGTGGTCATAGTGAAATTGTCCAAAAACAGTTTCCAAAAGTCATTCAAAATCCTGATTATAGTAATAACCCCAATATAAACCATTACACAGCTGGGGAATATGAACAAGACGAGCCAACTCCTCCTCAATTCCAATTTGTAGATAATACACAGCCCAATACTTACATGCACCAAGAGACAGACGAAGGCTACTCTCCTGAACCTGAGCCAGAACCGGATCAAGAACCAGAGCAAGAGCAAGAAATGGATAATAGGACTCAAATAGTTTATGAACCTGAAGTAAAATCTATCGAAGGAAATTTAAATAATTTCGATAAATTCCAACACATAATGAAAAGCAAAAATAGGTCAAAATCAATGTCTGAGACCACATCTTCAAAAGTGAGTTATCAGCCTCCAAAATCTCCTACTGAGAAGGAAAGAAGACTATATGGAGCCATGCTGCCTAAAACAGGGGTGCACTTCCTGCCAGATCTAAAAGTAGTAGATTTTATCAGAGTTCTTCATAACTACAAAAGACAATGTCTTAAGGAAGGAAAGCTCCTAGAAGTGAAGAAGTCCAAGAAGAAAATCTTTGAGCTCAGAAATAAAGAGATGCTTCGCCAGCTCACCAACATGTGTGTTTCCCATGAGAAGGAGATAAAGGCTGTCAAGAAGGCTCAAGATAAACAATTTGAACAGTTCCAAGGCAAGTCCTAACCAGTAATCCTTATAGAAGCCTGGGATGCTTACATGATGGAATACGAAGACGCAGCAAGAGAGTCTATCAAGAAAGTCCAAAAGAGCCAAAAATAAGGAAATAAAGCAGTTTGAGAAAATTATGAAGAGAGAGACCACGTTCAAGGTGACTCTTTCTCAAGACCTCATTCTCTTGAGAAATAGGATAGAGAAATTAATCTCAATTGGGAAATATGAAGAAGCGGACATACTTAAGGACAAAGCAGAAGAGCTTGAAAAAGTTGAGTATACCAAAGCGGCAATTGAGTCAGAGCTTGATATTGATAAGGATAAAGAGAGACTCATTGCAGCACATCAAAAGACTATCGAGGCTATGCTTAGAAGGATTGAGAGAGATAGACGTGAGCAAACTAGGCATAGAAAAGATGATACACAGAGATTAGTCCAGAGAAATAAAAATCTTCTCAAGGATATTGATACCAGGCAAGCTCAGGAAAAATAGAAAAACTAAACAGTTCTTGACTTGGGCATTGAGTGATATACATACATTCAAAAATCTGAAATCTAAAATTGCTCAGTCACAAAGTGGTAAAGCTAGAAACTTTAGAGGCCCTAAGCCAAAATCGATTCCTAAAACTAGGGCTAGAAGAATGAATATCATGAACAATAAGTATAGCACACTTATGAAAAATAGAAATAGTCTTCCAATGGTGAACAAGAGTAGAGAGAGTCGGAGTGAGGTTAAAATTCACCGGAAGAAAAACATCCAGAGTAATCTTCCTGGTAGTCTCCTTCATGTAATGAAGCACAAAGCTGGTATAAAGCTACCCAAAAAGAGCCTGCACAACATGAGCTATAACGATGCTTATGGAGTGCTGGAGGATATAGAATCATCTGCAAATTACTCCTCGGTAATGTAACTTTTCAATAACTTGGAAAATAGAAGGGGTTTTGGGGTTTTGGGGTTTTGGGGTTTTGGGG